CTTAGAGTAGAGGTTCTAAACTGGTAGCCCACAGGTCAAGTCTCACAATTTGGGGATGACTCTCCAGTGTTTCGAAACTTGATTTAAGTGCTTTTGTTCAAGGCACTCATTCTTCAGTTCTCCACAGCCCTTGCCCCTGGCTGTTGTTTTACATCTGCGTGCTTCACACTTTACCTACTCTGCCCTACTCCCCAGTGCTTTTGGATTTTTAATCCCTGGCTTGGAATGAAAAGTGAAGGCAAGATCTTGCCAGAACCTCAATATCCATAACTGAGAGACAAGCCCAGGCAATGTAACTTCCAGGGGCTAGCACTCAGGAGGTTTGAGGTGGAAGTAGTTTAGCAGAACAGCTAGAAATGTGGAAGAAAATTCTTTGCAACCAGATTAGCAGGTGCTTTTTCTTTCTCAGGAAGACAGAAGCCAGAGTGAGACATACCGCACTTTTGAGGAAGTGCTTCTGTGCCGTCGGCGTTGCCCTGAGTTCTGATTTTATGTTGGAATGGTCACAGAATGGAAAGTCTGTTTCAGGGTGCTAGATGGAACTTTCTAGGAAGTGTTGTTGATGGTGGGATGCTGGTGGTGGGAAAAGGCCCTGGATCCATTGGTTTTTATTTTAAAAGAAAAAAACACATAATTAAAATTTCACTAAAACAGAATAAGAGAAAATGAAGCAAAAGTAGATATGAGCATGATGTAAAAGCTGCTGTAATTGAATTTTTAAAACACTAGGATTTCAACATTGTTTTTTATCAAAATTAAAATAATTGAACACTTCTTAAAGTATTCTGTAGAGTTTTTTTTTTCTTTTTTGAGGGCAAATTCCTGAACCCTGGGTGGAATTATTCACTCTCCCTTGTGATGCAAAATACATTTTGTCTCCTCAGATCTAGGCTGCTGCCAGATAGGCTGACCTTAGGCATGAGGAGGGTAAAGCAGGAGGGTCAGCTCCAAGGCTAATGTATGAAAGCACCTTCTAAGAAAACACACCTTCACCCTTAGCCCCTCCTGCCAGCACTCCCCAGCTCCCACTCCTCACAGGACACTGACCTTGGTGGTGTTTGCCAGGAGAGCCATACATCTTCCTTTTCTTTGTTGCCCTTTGTTTACCTGTTTAGAATTCTGGATACAAGGCCTGGTCTAGTTGAGTCCATTAAAAAACAAAAATAATCCTGCATGAGGATTCTAATTGTTGGTGTTATGATTTCACAAGAATCCTTGTTTTCTTTCTCCACCTAGTTACTTATCATAGTAGCTTCATGTTGTCTCCCTATTGTAGCAGAAGGGTGGCACCCAGTTCCCAGTGACAGTTGTGGAAGCAGTGGCAGCTTGTCCATTGCTGCCTCTATCTCACTCCCACCCCCGGGTAATGCTCCTGGTCATGTGTGTTGTGCACAGCTTCACTCACACACTAGTGTGCTCAACACTGAGCACACATCTGTGCATGCCTACATGGGTCTAGGTCTACACACTCTTCAGGTGGGACTTATAGTCTTAACATGCGTCTTTCAACCAAACAAACAGAATCTGCTTGGCCTGTGATTACTGGGGCCAATATTTTAATGTTAGAACTGGTTCTTCCATCTCTTTCAACTTTTGTTTGAAAGTCGTTAAAACCTTATAGGACAGATTTTCCCACACACACATTTCTGAATAGCCAATTCTCAGTCAAGTTCATGCTCTTGACTTGCCACCATGTTTCCATCCCACCTGGTCTAGGTGCCCATGACCTGGAGTGTTTGAGCGGGCAGGATGAAACCTCTCATATCGGGGTGTGTTGCAATATTTCTTTGGCATTGAGAAAAGCAATGAGACTCTGAAGCCAGGGTTTTTCTCTGTGAGTTAGTTTCATAAATGGCATTGATAATCATTTAATTTTCAAGTAGAATTTAATGAGATTTAACATGAGACATTCTAAAAATACTATGGAATTTATATGAAGCATAGAAATTGCATAATCTTGGCAATAACTAATTTCTTAATGTACATCTCAAAAGGTTTTATTCCTCGCCCAAGTTCAAGATCATTCACACACCCTCATTATTATTTACTGCTCTGTGTTGAATGCTGACAGGTCTTCTCTTTGTTATGCTGTGTACAACTCCAAGGCCGGAACTCAAATCCTTAAGCTTTGTCACCATGAGTCTTACCCAACTGCTCATGTAATGCCTATTTGGGCTGGTGCCCCATTCCCAAGGTCCTGAAATAGTACCACTGGCGAACTTCCCTCCCTCTCTGCCCTCTCACCCTCCTCCCCCCACCAACGCCCCAGCACTCCTGAGACCATAAGAAATGCCTGCCTAGCCTGGCCAACTAGGACTTCCATCACCATGTTATCCCAAAGTAAGTTCAATTAACAGTCAAGTTATCTTAATATGGAAAATAAAATTTCCTGGGTGTATTAGTTTACTGGGGCCACTGTAACAAAGTATCACAAACTTGAGTGGCTTAAAATAGCAGAAATGTATTGCCTGGAAGCCAGGACTCCAAGATCGAGGTGTTAGCAGGGTAAGTTCCTTCTGAGGGCTGTGAGGGAGAATCTGTTCCATGCCTCTCTCCTAGCTTCTGGTAGTTTGTTGCTGTCTTTGGCGTTCCTTGGCCAAATGTCACCTCTATCTCCACCTTCATCTTTACATGGTGTTCTCCCTATGTGAGTGTCTCCAAATTTCCTTTTTTTATAAGGACACCAGTCACGCTGGATTAAGGCCCACCCTAGTGATCTCATTTTAACTTGATTGCCTTTGTAACGACCTTATCTCCAAATAAGGTCACATTCTGAGGTTCTGGGTATTTTGGGGAGGGCACAATTCAACCCATAACACTGTGCTACCCAGAAGTACTCATTTGATTGTCTTCTGGCTAATTTACAGCAGCCCATCGAGAGGCAGCCCACTTTCCCCTTTCCCTGAGACTCCAGCTGTGGCATTGCCCCCAGGCCTTCCAGATCCCGGAACTTCTCTTCTATCTCTGGTCTGCTTTCTCCTGGGCAATCTTGCTGCACTGCATGTCAAAGATGAAGAAAGAGGGAATCTTTTAGTTCCTTTCTTGGTAGGATGCTGTCTTTTTCCTTCTCATTTTCCCATTTTCCACTTTTCTATAACTCGGCTGAACCAAGTACTTCCAGCCTCCCCAGGAAGCTCTCTTTCCAAATACATTATAGTCACCCTCTTCCCAACCCTTTCGTGCCTCTCCTGTTAGGCTTTGTTCTCTTCTTAGAAGCAAGTCCTGCTTGGACATCAACTGCTTGAGAAAGTGCAGCAATGGTGTGGTTGAGAATGTTTGATTTGTTGGGGGGAAGAGAGGAGGATTTTTTTTGAGAGATGAGTCCTGTAACAAACCCACCACCAGTTGTAGCCACACTGACCAAATAGACTGTTTGCTTTAGGTAGTGCTTCCCAAAATATGTAAGAAGACATTTCTGCCCTCAAGAAAATCACTTCCATCTCCTGTCCCCCAATAAATTATAGAGACTAAGAAATTATGTAAATAGTATATCTAGTGTCTCCTGATGGAGGTATGCAATATGTTAATTAAAAGGCCTGACAAGTCCAGCTGAATAGAAGCTGGTTTAACCTTTTGTGTGTGTGTGTGTTTATATTTATTTTCTTTTACGGCAGCTTGGTAGCATATTACTAACAACTATTACTATTATTACTAATAACCATGGCTGATGCAGAAAAGGTCAGCAAGTGTTTGAACATTTGTACTTGAACAATGTTTCCCTCATTTTTAAGTTAGGCAAACCTTAAATATTTTGCAATTAAAAATATATATAATCTAAGAAAATCCACATATTTCAGATTTCAAGGGATCATCTTCATAATTTTGATTTTGTAGCCATTTTTTAAAAAATTCAGATGTAATTGACATTAACATTGTATTAGTTTCAGGTGTACAACATAATGATTCAATATTTGTATGTATTGTGAAATGATCACCACAAGTCTAGTTAATATCCATCACCACACATAGTTACAAAAAATTTTTTTCTTGTGATGAGAACTTTTAAGATCTATTCTTTTAGCAACTTTCAAATATGCAATATAGTGTTATTAACTATAGTCACCATGCTGTACATTACATCTCTGTGACTTATTTATTTTATAACTGGAAATTTGTACCTTTTGATCACCCAGTTTAGCTTTTTTCCCAGAATTAACTTATTACGAAAATTTTCAAAGAATTGTACAGTCAAGACTCATATACCTACCAACTAGATTCTACAATTAACATTTTTGCTATATTTGCTTTATTCCATGTATCTATCCCTCTCTCCATCTCTAAATCTCTTTTATTTTTTAATGCATTTCAAAGTAAGTTAGAGAAATCAGGAGCTTTTGACCCTGATTACCTCAGCACAGCTATCCTTAACCAGCTTTGTTTAAATCAGCATTTTCTTGTCCTACATTAGCACAAAAATCTTGTTTTTATTATCACCTGTTGATGTCACCCAAATTTCTTGCTCCATCGGACAGACTTTGGGGTAGATGCTTTGGGTTATGAAGACACCACCTGTGTAATGAAATCTCAGCTTATTTGAAATCATTGTCCTGTCTCATTTAGATTAATCACAGAATGGCAGGGGCCTACTTTAATCACCCCATTTTACAGATAGGAAAGTGAGGCTCCGAAAGGCGAGGACTCTTGCCCAAGATCATACACCCAGGAAGTAGCCTATTAGGTATAGAGCTTTTTCTACAGAATGGCAATGTTCTGCCTTGTCCTTGAACCACGTGATGTTTTCCTTCCACTCTTGTGCTTGCTCAGCACTGACTGCCTTGGTCTTTGGCTCACAAAGGTCTTTCAGGGGCAGACAAAGTAAAGCTCCTGGGCCAGGCTCTGCACTAGACTCCTAGGAGATGGAGGGAGGCCCAGGCTTTGGCATTGCCAAATGACTACTTTGTAACTTTATTTCTTCCAGTTATTTGTTGCATCTCACTCAGATTTCTTTTCCTTTACAATGCCCACATTTTGTCCTCTCCTTCTAGAATTCCTAATTTATCATCTCATTTTTGGTGAAAGGAGATGTTTAAATGGAGAAGTATTCAAGGTATTCTACAGCAGGCCTCTGACCCTCTTCAGGCCGTTGTAACACCCAGCTCTTTCAGAGACTAGGATCTAAGGAGTGGGTAAGCCAAAGGGGAATGGTATCTCTCCAATTTTATATTCTACTTTAAAGATGTCCTTGATTCTGAAATCATGTTGATAATCCATAGGAGGGCTATGATCACAGCAATAAAATATTTCGTCCTCAAATCACAGTCAAGGAAACTCTCATGGTATCGTATGATTATCTTCTTTACTTAAAAAACAGTATTCTTAAAAAAGTATGTGTTTGTTTATTTATACATATTCCGTAAAGTTCCTAAAAGGACTCAAGGCAGGGGAATTAAAAGTTTAGTTTTATCTAACAGTTTTTAAAGTGAAGACTATAACACACAAACTTGAGAAGGACAAAGCTTTAATTTCTGGGCTTGCATCCTTTTTTCATGGGAGACCATGCTGAGGTAAAGTGAAAATCAATTTTGTCTACCACGATTACAATGCACAAGAGATATTCCACTCTTTGCAAACAACAAAGGGTAAAGACAAAAGCTTGGATATGAAATAAGACTCATTATGATTGCTGACATTTTAGGAAAATGCAATAATTTACATAGAAAGCATGATGAAGAAACAATTTTTATGATTCAGACATATTCTGAAAGGCCTTGGAAGGCAATCTCATTCTAGTGTCTCACAGCGGCTGCATCTGGAGAAAGGTTTCCATGGCAACTCATGAAAGCTTGATTTTTTTTATCCTTTTCAAGAGCATAAATCATCCCATGGCCTGAGGGTTTGGTAAAGGTCTCCTTTATTTTAGAAGCTATTGCCATTTGTTTTTGTGTTGTATATTTTGACTGTCTTAGAGAAAACAAAGAAACGCCTTCCAAGAAGGCTTGGAGTCTGTCCTTTTCATATTTAGGAGCAAGATGTGAATAACATAATTTTAGACTTTGCTTCTCAATGATCAAAATGATGGTACATGTTGGTATGTTTGGTTTATGTTGTGTGTTGTTTCAATTTTCCAAAAAGTTGTGATTGGTGCATTCTCAGGAAAGAGTCAGTCTATACTACATATGGAAAGGGAACCGTTTGGCCAAAGCACCTCTTAATGAGTAGTTCAGTGGAGCTCTCCTACAGGGTACTACATTGCTTTAAATGCTTCTAGATCTTCCTGTAATGATATGGTCTCAGGACTTTGAGCACCAACAGGATCCAGGTGGTTTATATCAATATATTCTTTCCAAGAAAGTTAATAAAGAAATATTATAGGGCCAGCCCTGGTTGCCTAGTGGTTAAGTTCAGTATGCTCCACTTTGGTGGCCCAGGTTCAGTTCCTCGGTGTGGACATACACCATTTGTTGGTGGCCATGCTGTGGTGGTGGCTCACATACAAAATAGAGGAAGACTGGCACAGATGTTAGCTCAGGGTGAATTTTCCTCAGCAAAAAAGAGGAATATTAGCAACAGATGTTAGCTCAGGGCAAATCTTCCTTGGCAAAAGAAAAAAAGAGAAATATTCTAGTTTTAAAACTCAGCATGCTTTGAGAATTTTTTTTTAACAGCGTAGGCCTTTGTATATTATAGGAAGTAATGTGACTCATGAAAAACACATAGGACACTGAAACAGAACTGGGTTTTAGCCCTAGTTGTGCCATTGCTAGCTGTATTCAGAGCAAGCTTCTGAATCTCTCTGAGCCTCCATTTCCTAATATGAAAAATAGGAATAACAATGCCAGCCTCACAGGGTTATTGTTAAGGACTGAATATGTGTGAATATTGGAAACTGCAGTGTGGTACAAATGTAAGGTGGTTATTATTGTTGGTTGGCTGTTTTTCTTTCCAGCTCCTTCCCTTTGAAAAAGTCAAGAATATCCTTTACCATTTCCAGCGTGACCAGAGGAAATCAGTTTCAGTGTGTGTAAATATTTTAGTTTTTTATACTATATTAAATATGCTATATTTATATAAACACTATTGCTGTCATTTACTTATTTATTGACTAAGTAATTAAATGTCATCTTGGTTGATGGGTATTAAATGAATCCATTCAACAAACTTGTAAGTGCCAACTGTGTACTAGCATTGCAGAGACGATAGGTAATTAAATTCTTATCACTCAGGAAATAAGTTTTCTGAGTTTCAAGGCCACAGCATAAGCTGTTCAGGCAATGCCCTGCACAAGGCTGTTGCAGTGAAAGAAGGGACGCAACCCAGACCACACTCTGCCAGTCAAGCCATTTGCAACCATGTGGGCTACATTTGCCTGAAGGAAGGATGCCTTTTTGAGATTTACCTTCCAGGAGTGTGTGCTTTCTTGTAATTTACACAAGTGCATGGAATGTGCTAGCAGCGGCCTTGACGCTTATATCATCCATGATGTTCAATGGAAGGCTTTCAGTGTTTCACCGTTGAGTGTGAGGAAGGCTGCTGGATGTGCTTGTCATCTGGAGTCAGATTGCCTGGATTCAAATACTGGCTCTGCCACTTACTAACTTTGCCACCTTGAGCACATTACTAGGCCCCTCTGTGCTTCACTTTCTGCATCTGCCCACTTCATAGAGTTGTTGGGAGGATAAACGAATTCCTATATGTAAAATATTCAGAATAGAAGCTGGCGTGCAGTTAGTGCTCAAAATGTTAGCTGTTTTTAGTGATATCTTTACCTGCCTCTTTACTCTGTGTTGAAAAGTTCAACAACTAACATCTGAATTCTACCTACAAATACCATTTTCCTTTAATGAATTTAATTTCACATTGGAGATGTATTTCTTCTTACTTCAGACCTTTTTTGGTGTGTATTTGTGTTAAATGACTGAAAGGCATTTTCTTTAGAGACATCAAAGAATTCTAGTTCTTTGATGGGAAGGTCACTTGGTTGTTTCTAGAATTTTCTCATAAAACCATTGCTTTGTCAGAATTGACAGAGGTGATGAGGGCTGTTTGGATATTTTTGGCTTTTATTCTTCCTAGGGGAGTGCTTGTATCATTTGCCAGGGTTATAAGGTTAGAGATACTTTGAGGTACAGTGAGTTTTTTTTGGTCAATTTTGGTTAACACGATACTTTTTTTTGGTAACTTTAAACTGAGAAAAAGTCCTTATGTATTATTGAAATACTGATATTATATAATGTTTTCAAAGCAATTAACTTTGCATTTTCAAACTGAAAAAGTTTTGTTAAATATCAGATTTTGATATGAAGAACATGCGACAGATTGACAAAGCAAAGGATGAGGCAGATGGTGATTTTGATTTTTCTCCTCCCTCCAAATCCTAACTCCTCCACTGCTCCCTAGAGACCTTGAAGAAGCCCCTTTATTACCTACACTGTGTACTTTCCAGTCTCCTACAGCGTCTAGCTCTCAGGCCATTTTTCACGGCATGAAACTGGAAGCACAGAATGTGAATAATGCTGCACGTCACTAATTTCTAGGTACAGTCATGCACTGCATAATGGCGTTTTGGTCAATGATGGACTGCATATATAACAGTGGTCCCATAAGATTAGTACCATGTAGCCCAGGTGTGCAGTAGGCTGTACCATCTAGGTTTGCATAAGTACACTCTATGATCTTTGCACAATGACAGAATTGCCTAATGACACATTTCTCAGAACCTCTTCCTGTTGTTAAGTGCTGCATGCCTGCATTTAAAATAATTTGGGTGTCTAATCCAAACTGAGGTATGCGAATCATCGAAATACTCATCACTTTGATGAAAACTTTTCCAAGTAATCTTCCTGGGAAGAGAGATGTAATATTTTTATAATCTCATAGCATTAGGCATTAATCTACCATTGTTCGGGTGTGACATGCTTTGATTATTCATCCAAGAGAGACTCCCTGAGCCAAAATATTATGGACCCTGCACCATTTGGAGACAACAAATGAGATGATCTTATCAGGGGCCTGTTAGGGGCGCATAGGGGCTGCTTCTGAAAGTGCCAAATGATAATTCGTTCATGAAATATTAGTTGATATTGCTTGTTAAACTCAAGTTTAATTAGCTTTTTAAAAGTACAAAGTGATTATAAGCCTGCTCCTAAATTGGTTGCAAAAGTTCAGTATTCATTTTAGAGAAAAACTTGGTATTTTAAGATTCTTATATTTAGATGGAGAACAGAATGTTTGAAGACACTGCATCAATCAGTGTATAGAGTTACTGTGTTTTTAAGTTTTCCTTTTTGGTCCAAGGGTGGTGACTAAGAGTTCAGATTTGGGGCTGAACTCTGACCCTGCCATTTACTAATTATGTAATCTACCAGTCAGTGAATGTTTCCAAGCCTCCATTTTTTCTTTGTAAAATGAGGATAATAATATCTCTCAGCAGTGTGGTGAAGATCAGATGAACTTTGTATGTAAAGCCCTTTAACAGAGCAAAGCAAGCTCAATGCTTTATGATGGTGGCTGTTATTGTTGTGGATATTTTCTTTGTTTTTTTTTAACTTACTGCATTGTGTCAGGAAGTAATTGCGTAAGTATTTAAACAGTGCCAATGACATTGTCTAGTGTTTTAGAACAAATATATTTCTGCTACTTTATGATTTGGGGCTTTTTTCCCACAATAGTATTGCATTTTAAAATCCCCACACTTACCAGAAAATGCACCATCTCTCATCTTTTTGTTCTATGGCAAAATGTGTTAAAAGTTCCAAACAACTGATGTAGAAATGACCTCTTGGGAAACAAGCCTGTTGTAAGCTGGGGCAGCTCCGTATAGTTGTTTCCTTATTCTTTAATCGGTCCAACCATTAGTCCTTTCATCAGTTATCACTGAGGAAGCCCTAGAGAGATTAACCTGCTTGATCACCTCCTGACCAGACTCCAACTCCTCAGTTTCTTAGGTACCCTAACATTCCCTCCTAAATTCCAGTGACTTTCCTCAGCCACCGATATTTGGGCTAGTTATTTTTCAAATCAGCTTTTGTCAGTTGACGTCCAACGAGCATTTTGAAAAGGCCCTGTGAACATTAGTGAGACAAATTGTGAGGTATTTCCAACAATATACTCTCATATTGCTCTATTTAAAGATATTTTTGTAATTTTTCATTTATGACTTTTTAAAGCACATGAGCATAGAGAACTCTATTTAATGGTTTGATAAGACCCCAGCTTGTTTTAATAACTGTTTATGTTTAGCATCAGATACTATTGGGTAACTGCACTTGCTAAAAGACAGTACCTTTTGTGGAATATAAAATGTAGTGTATATGAGTGATGTTGTATTTGTTCTGAAGCCTTTTGTTTAAGCCTCAGCATGCTCAGCAGGTCTGTCTGAATCCCCTGATAACAGCTGTTACTATGGCTGCATCTTATTTCGTATTTCATTTGTTGAACTGATGCTTGATAAGAGAAATGGCATTGAATTGTCTGCAATTTTGAATCTCAATAGAAATGTTTTTTCTTTTTTCCTTCTGGAGGTAAAATTAGGAAACTAGAGTTAAAAATTCAAGCCCTGTATTCGTAAATCAGGGTTGTGCAACGCTCGTGCACATTGAGTAAGGGGTTGTGGACTTTGGGACTCTTACCCCAGCACCAAATGAAAGCTCTGGCCCTGCCCCCAAGGACAGGGATCGATCGGAAGATGGATTAACTTAAATAATGAAATCAGCCTCTTTGAAACATGGGTTTTTTTCTTTTATGTTAACTGATAGTGAATGAAGCCTCGCCTTTTCATTATGGTTTTATGATGGGCTAATATTTTATGTTCCATGGATCCTTATCAAACCACAAAATACAAGTGTGTTTTAAAAACACGTTGATCCAAATATAGTGAAAAATATCTTTTGAAATGTGATTTCTCCCTGAAACAAAAACTGTGATCTTTGAAGAGAATGATTCTGAGGCCCTGTGGAAAGCAGTAAGCGTAGGGGTTATGAATATCAACACTGGAGCAAAACTGCCTGGCTTTGCCTGCTGGCTCCTTAGGTGACCATGGACACCTCTTTGTGCTTCAGTTTCATCAGCCATAAATGGGAATACCAATGGTACCTTTTCTCATTGGGTTGCTGTGAGAACTCATTGAGTTAATGTAATAAAACACTTAGAATAGTGTCTCAAATGTGGTGAGCACTATATGAATATTAGCTATTTTTGTAGAAATCTTTTTGTTTCACACTAGTGGGATCTTAAACTCCCAAAACTATTATTTTTGAAAGACAAGATAGAAGCTGTTTTATTTATCTGTAAGGCACAGTGTCTTGGCGTTTCCTTGATTTTGTTTGGTTTCATAAAGCAAATGAGTAAGGTAATTCAAACCGAGCAAACTTGGTTCATGTGGTAAGAGCTTCAGGGTTCTGTTGTCTGAGAAAACTCTTACTAAACTGTAAGAATGGTTTTAAAGATGAAGGATTTTAAGACGTCTGAGGTCAAAAACTCCATCCAGGATGTACTTATACCAATAACTACATACATGAACTCTATACTAAGATTTATACACTGTCAAAACTCATTGAAGTGATTTGGCACAGTTTTTGTATATGAATTTACCTTAATAAAGCCATTGTTTTTTTTTAAAGCTAAATTCATGGTCGTGAGAATGTAGTAGGCATTCCTTAAGTATTTTTGACTACATTAATAATTAAATGAGTGAATGAATGGAGTCATTTAATTCTTCAGCAATGGATCACATGGGGAATTATGACTCATAAAGAGGTCAAATTTTATGTCCTTGGTTTTGAATCAACTTCTAAAAGCCCAATTTTAACGGTAAATCCTAGGTCCTCTCATGTGCTTTGAAGGCCCGCTCTCCCCACAATTCACTGGTTTTTCAGATTTACCTTAACGTGAAGTCAGTGGCTACACTTGGTTCTGTGTCTGCTGGGGCTGATACATTTCTCTTAAGTGTGGCCTTGTGTTTTCATCTCTGTTCTCAGATGTGTAATCATGCAGTTTAGTCCTTAAAGATAGACATTTTGATATGATGACCAAAGATTTTTTTAAGATTTGAGACATTTACCAAAAATGAAGTCTCTTTTGTTCTTTCTACAAATAGCAGTTGGTTTCCCAGACTTGGAATCTGGGCCTCTATTGAGAAACCCTAGCCACTTGTAAGTTGAACATACCAGTAGCATGTATGTGAGCCAACATGGACTTTTCTTATTGGCTGTTAGCATGAGGAGCTTATCTGGAGTCCCTGTAAAGAGTTTGATTATGATTTCTTATTGTATTTTCTCCCAGGTATGGCAGCAGCCAAACTTCTGCATGACTCAGGTCTGAATGTGATTGTTCTGGAAGCCCGGGACCGTGTGGGAGGCAGGACTTACACCGTTAGGGTAAGCCATTAAAGATGGCGTGGAGAAACGTGGGGCTGAAGCTGGTTTTTTTTTCTTTCTCAAAGTCTTGAATTTCATTTGACTCTAAGACAGTGACGATTACTCTGAAACATTCTCCACAGCCTCTCTCTCAGTTTGTTTCCTTTTCAACTCTTTTCTGTCCGTTTTCTCTTCTGATCTCATGACGCTTGGCACTTTCCCAGTAAATTATTGCACCAATAAATAGGTGGTTGGAATTACATCGGTGAATAAAACAAAGATCCCTGCCCTTGTGAAACTTTTCTTTTTTTGGTCTGGGTGGGGGGGCGGCTAGACAATAAAGAAACAAGGAAACAAAAATAGAAAAGGAGGGCTTCCTCTGGTGTCCCTGACTGATAGGTACCTGGTTATGCTTGCACACATTCAGACATAGGGAGCTTTTCCACTCACTTCTTGTTCAAAGGTTGGTCTTTTGTCGTTGGATGTGAAGCTGATTCGAAACCGTAGAGAAAACTTGCTAGTGAGCATAAGAGCAATTTCAAATGTTCGAATTATGACCAAATATTCCCTAATGTTATCTTTCAAACATCTGGATTAGCAAACCACGTAAGAAGTGATCAATTCCTTTTTTACTTTTCCTCATTAGCACTAGGTGCCTCAAAATTAGCCTGAACTACTATGAGAAATTCACCAACAATTCATAGCATATAAACTCAAGGCACTAAATACCATGTTGTGGCATATTGTGAATGATGGAGTTCAGAAGTCTCTTGCCTATTCAAAGTTCAATCAGTTTTGCTTTAAATGAAGGAGTGATTTAATAAGTCAAGTGAATGAAGTAGAGTTGAGAACAGAATCCTATTTTCCATGGATGCTTCTCCACATGTGTCTACCACCTGTGAAATGCCAATTTGCTTTATTTCAGAACTATCTTTTTTTATCTTAGGAATAACATTTTCACAACTATTTATTTTTATTTTTTCCATGGGAAAACAGAACCAAAACGTTAAATATGTGGACCTTGGAGGATCCTATGTTGGGCCAACCCAGAATCGTATTTTAAGATTAGCCAAGGAGCTAGGATTAGAGACCTACAAAGTGAATGAAGTAGAGCGTCTGATCCACCACGTAAAGGTAAGCCTGAGCCAGCCTTTGAAGGATTTCAAAGCTACTCTATGGGTATTTCCGTATATGAATTCCAGATCCTTCTCCCAGAGAATCTTTTGCATCCTTGAATGATGCATATGTATTTTATAACTGTATTTCAACCACTCTGAGAATTTTTTCACTGTTATCAAAGGGGAATTAGGTACGAATTCTAAACTTATTTGGGAAAGTTATTGACAAGTAGTATTGTCCATTTGGTAAAAAGTTTAGCAAAACCAATAGAGAAAAAATATATGTGATTGATTTACTAAACACCTGTATTTAAATACCTGGGGCTTTTTCGTGTGATACGAAAACCTGTGTGCAGTTTTACAAATGCTGCCCTAGACTTCACATTATAAAAAGTATTTGCAATATGTCTAATGTAGTACTTTGAAATCTTATCATTGTGTCCTATATATCAGCTAAAGTTACTCTTCTTTGGAGATTTACATAAAAGTAGCTCAAGTCACAAATTCTGTTTTTCTGTAAGGAACCTCCATTGATGTCCCCAAGATATCTGTGAGTTTACTGGGTCTCGCATTCCCATGATCATTTGTGGCTTATGGTTCCTGCTTCCACGACGCCTATGCTCATTCACATCTCATGGCCTGTGACTCCTTTCTTCCCTTTCCTCAATGCCAACCTGGGCTCAGACTCACGTCTTTGGCTTGATTTTCCTCAGACTACCCCGAGCATTTGTGTGCAGCCGACTTGACTGAAGTTTTGAGCAATGACTGGGGGGAGTTAACTGTAGAAACACAAACAACTTAGAATTTAATATTGGACATTCTAATTTTAATAAGCCCTTAGACCAGTGTGCCCCTGGGGATTTCTCACTGGCCGTGTTTCTCTGTGGATTCTAGTCTCCCACCATGTTGCTGGTCTTCAGAGGTCTTCCTCTCCCATCTCCCTGATCCTTGTTTTCTCAGCATCATCATCTTGGTCCAAAAAGTCACTGCTATTCTCTGACAAGCAGAGAGTCACCTACTCTTGGCCCCATCCTGAAGTCCCACAGGTGAACTAGCAGAGGTTTTGAATTTCAGTCTTTCTTCTCTCTTCTTCACGTGGCTCCACAGGTGGAAGTGAGCAGTGTAGAGACATATACCTCACTGGTAGAAATCATCCCCTTAGAAGACAGAAGAAGCTAGCATCGGTCAGTTTTCATTTACATAACAATGTTGACACCCTTATATTATTTGTAAGTGATAATATCAAGAAGGATAATAACAGACCTTGCATTATAAATCATTTAGTAAAACAAGAAATAAACATCTACTAATTTGGTATAATGAGGGTAAAAGATTTCTTAATTTGTACATAAATGTTTTTGATTGACCTTCAGATTTTGTTTTATAAGCCTTTTCACCATATGTGTCTAGCAGAAAAAGAAATACCTCCATTAGAAACGAAAATATAGCCTGGTGGTAGCGATTTGTTGAACATCAATCGGCAACGCTTAGTAAACATCCTTTGCTGGGTTCCTTGCTTTTAAATGTAAGTCACATTGACTGATCTCTTCTATCTTCCTTATCATAACATGTAAGACTCTCAGAGACTGACTTCCCAGATCACTGAGATCTCTTTTAAGTTTCTCCAGACATAGGAGATAACTAGAGATTATATTAATTCTTCTGTCTTTGTATGTGCAGTTTCTTGGCAGTCAGGAGCTTTGCCCAGGAGGCTTTGTTTTTCTGGTAATCTTCTGACTGACGTTGACTTCCTTGTTTGAAAGAGACTGCTTACGGTCATCAATTACAGAAACGATGTTGCACGTAAAAATTTTTTAGTGGTGGCCAAAAGTGTTGTTTTCTTAGACTATTTCAAATAATCTATGTGCAGCTAAGAAAATACAAGTAATTAATCAGTATCTTTGACTTGATATAGGGTAAATACATATGCTGACAGTACTCTTCATCAAATTTAAATTAAATGCTGTTGCTTTTTAGTTATTACAAAAATAAAGCATGTTTGTTGTAAAAATATAATTAGAACGTGTGGGTAAAGGAAAACAATTAAAAAACCCCTCCATAATCCTATCTACGGAAAATCACTCTAAAATATTCTCTGGTTCATAGATTTTCATATTCCTGTATTGCTATTTTCTGACCTCTGCTGGAGGAAATGAGAAATATCAGTGCACTTAAAAATACCATATACATATGCATATGTGTATATGCTTGATATGCTAACATACTCTCTAATTAATCCTCACTACTGAGACTATTGAAACACTAATGAGGCAATGAAACAGCGGATTTTTCAGCCTTGATAGAGGTGCTAATTTGACTTCCTCATGGTCATGTCCAGTGAGGAACTACATGATAATAAATAATGATAAAGACTTTATAGCTAAGAAGTCCTCCCAAAATTAAATATTTGTTCTCCACCATCACCACCCCCATGGCTTTGCTCATGTGTGATTTTTCTTATTTTTAAACTGTAAAAAGCATCTCAGATGGCTACATCCATTTCTGGAATTATTGACAAGAACTCTGACGTTCTATCTCTTATTACATGGAGAGAATGTAGTTCAGAAGTTTGTCTTCTCTGCCATGGTAGGCAGTACTTTGAGCATTTGGGCATTACTCTCTATCATCCATTTTAGTAACTACTGTTCCCAAGTGCAAACTATGGTTCATGCAAATAGATAGTGTATTTGTGCCTTGTTTCTTCAGCGGACCTGCATGTATTTCTGAACCCGAATCTGAGAGTATCCAGTATGCTACTTACCGTGTTATCAGATCCTGCTCTTCAAATCAGCCTATTTAAAGAATCAGCTTTTTAAATTTCTTACATGGTCGCTAATGGAAGACAGAGTTTTGTGTGCAGCCTTAATAACATTAGGCTCAGGAACTTGGATATGCTGATTGGAGTTGAAATGGATGAAATAAAGCTACTCAAAAAAAGGGGCAGGATACAGCAGCTCATGATGGGCTAGCTACCCAAAGGGAGGGTGTCTTTCTCAAGAAAGGATGACTCCCAGTATCACCAGTTCCCTGGTAGTGTAGACGAAATAGTCTGCTGATAAATGGGGTGTGTTCATGCCGGTCCTGTAACGGGCATCTGTAAAGTCCCTGGTGTGCTGTGATGTGCGGGCTCCTTCACTATCTGCCTCCGACCTGTTGGGAATGTTTATATCTACTGAGGGGCACTCATTTTTAGTGCTACTGTGGATCTGTCTTATGTTGCTAAGATGTGGTTTTCCAAAGCCTTGTTTGTGAATAAAAGATGTGATACAAACCTATATCGGGATTTAATTATCAGTGGGAAAAGTGATCGCTTAAGCTCAAATCTATATACTTTAGAAGGTGTTTTTCTCACTTCTAAAATCAGTGATGCAACCGTTAGCGCTTAACAATTACTGTTAAGCATCTCCTGAAGTTTTTAATCTGTGTCACAAGTAGTCATGCTAATTTCTGCTAGTATAGTTAGAAGGCAGCTATTTAGAAGCCTTGGAAATGATTTGTAAAAATTGTTCCCTTTTAGGGACTATTTCATAATCAAAAACAAAAAGACAAAAATAAAAACTTCTTAAGGAACCTTGCAATATTTTGACTTACACCTCTTCCTCTTTCGTCTTGTGTGTGTGTGTGTGTGTTGGTGTGTGCACATGTATATACTTGTTTATTTTTTGTTCTTTTGGATTCTTACTTTGAAGAAGCTGGAGAATATTCTTTTTTTTGAGGAAGATCAGCCCTGAGCTAACATCTGCTGCCAATCCTCCTCTTTTTTGCTGAGGAAGACTGGCCCTGAGCTAACATTGTGCCCATCTTCCTCTACTTTATATGTGGGGCGCCTACCACAGCATGACTTGCCAAGCGGTGCCATGTTTGTACCTGGGATCCTAACCAGTGAACCCTGGGCCACCGAAGCAGAACATGCGAACTTAACCACTGTGCCACGGGCTGGCCCCTGGAGAATATTCTAAAGTTTGGTACACTTTAGGCTATGGGCAAATAAAGTTCCTCTGTCTCAGAAGCTTTTGTAAGTCTCAAATTTGAAACTAAAATCTAGTCAAAATATGCATGAAACTGCTTTAGACTTGAAGTCTGAACTGTTAAGAGTTTGGTAAATGTAAAGATGTAGAGTGACTTAAAATTAAGAGCCCAACTTCACACTGATAGTCATTTCCAAACTTCACACTGATAGTCATTTTTAAACTTCAGCTATCTGGGGAAGCTGGGAAAAAAAGATGCTCTGGTCTTAGTCCGCTTCCCAGTGAGCAGGAGCCAGCTCATTGTCAAAGTACCTTTTGTGTTGTATGTTATCAGCCTCAATGCTTGAAGAGGCATGTGAATGAGGAGATATCTCTCAAATATATTGTCTGCTTGTTGCTGCTACAAGTACTATGGCTCAAATGACCTCATGGAGGGGGCAGCATTTGGCACAGCCCCTCAGTTTGTTGAGAACTCTGAAATCCAGTTGACAATATAGTATACAAAAAGCACATAAAGGCACGGAGTAGACACTGTAGATCTCTATTGACAAGACCAGTTTGGTGAATTTCTCGGAAAAGATCTCAGATGCTAAACTGTCTCTCGGTATTGGGGAATAGCAACAGAATTAGAGCTGAAATACTAGAAATAAAATATTCAAATTATAATTGCATTTGGCAAACGGAAACTGTCCTGTGGTGTAGAACCTCAGTGTGTCCCAGAAATCTGCAAATTAGAAGTGTCTAGGCTTCTCCAGGTTCTTAACATCCCCTTCTCCAGGCTCCTATCTCCAATCCTGTTAATCCAGAGAAGCCTGGATCAAAGTCCAGGGTGCACGTGCCTCTCTCATGATGACAGAAGTCTTCAGGAACGGGTTAGACAAACTCTTGTATTTCACCCATGAACAGCTGCCCATTTCACATGAACCTCACACATGCCACTCAGAGCTCACTGGCTCCGTGAGTCTGCCCTAGCTGAGATGGGCTTCACAAACCTTCTGCCCCCAGCCACACTCCATTTCATTTCTTATTTGTTGGAAACAAATATGTC